CAAAGACGAAATATACACATAGCTTCACATTAGAGGATAAAATCAGATTGAATTTCACATGAGGCTATTCCATTCTGTCAGCTTGTATTTAAGAGCTTTCATATCTACTTTGAGCAAAGCTCCCCTGCTTCTCTTATATCATGTAAATTATTTAAGTCTTAAGCATTTTTCATTTACTGCCTTCAGCTCCCACTTCACCATCCTTTCTGACTTCACAATTAGTAAATAGATACTGAGAGACATAAGCACAGAGAACTACAATTTCTAAGCGCTTGAGATCACAAGGTGCTCACTAGAGTAAAAACAATTAAAAGGAATTTATAAGAGTAATAAAAAATTAATACCAAAAGCCATCAGTACCAATTAGCAAATAACGTTTAACAAGCAGCTATAACATGCAGCCTAATTCAAAGATTAATACAGAACTTCAAAATAATGGTCAAGTTCTGTAGATGTGATCCCAGTGGCATAACCCCAGCGACAAGAGCTGGACAGAGTTGCAAATGTAGGCAGGCGCTGCAACCAGCATGAGTATTCTACAGGAGTTGTCTTCTGAATTCTAAACTAGTATAAAAGATTATGCCTGCATTTTACAGGAATTAAGAAAAAAAAACACCTACCATACTTGTAATTTTTAAAAGGAGGAGGAAGTCCTGTTCTTGAAGATACATCTATTAAAATAAAAGCATCATGTTACAACAAAGTTGTCTTTATTTCCAATATTTTATTTTCCATTATTGTGCAATGTATGCGTCCTGGACATCCTTTGCATCAAAATTAACCCGCAACACAAGAGACTTCTTTGAGCATCAAATACTAAAGCACAACCTTAGATTCATATTCTATAGTTACTCCACATCTGACTAACTTCACTTGAGCACGAAGTCCCTCTGAACAAAATGACCCATGAGGGCAGTGAGTCAATGCAATTAGGATATATATGACTACGGGAGCCTAATACTGCAGAAATCTGCCAGGAACATCCTGTTAATGGTTTGCACAGCATCTCTCTCTACCTTATACAAACAGCTGACAACTGTCATCCGTAACTGAATTCTTCAGTAAACACAGCCATGCAAACCAGCCACAAAAAGGAAGCCAAACTGTAGAAGATTAACTATTTAGCCGCGGGCCGTAAGCAATTGCAAGAACACTAACACCTTCCCTGATGCCAGTGTTTCCAGTGACACCCAGGGATTCAACCAGGGCCTTGGAAGGCTCAGCCATTTGTGGAGTGCTCAGCAGCGAGGCAGCTGAAACCATAATTTCATCAGTAGTTTAACAATTCATCTCAAACTCCCCCTTCAAAACAGTTTACAGTAAAGGAAGGAACATGGCTTTTGGACAAGGAACAGCACTATCCATCTGTGGAATGAGGTTCTGAAGTCTTGAGACATCAGCTTTGTCTCAAATTAACACCAAGCTGCAATACTGCACACATCAAAAGCAAGTTTCTTTGCATTGTTTTTTATTTTATTCTTCATAACAGCAGCTGTCCCATATGTTCTGAAAGTGCTCCTAGTTTTCTAAAAGCATCCCAAGATCTTGCTGTGCCTATCACTGTGAGGCTGAGGGCAGTGTCCCAGGAGTTGCTCAAAAGTTATCATCTATAACAGTTTGAGACTTGTTTAAGCTGACTTCATGGAAAAAAAAATCAAATTATGTTATTTTGCACCCTTTGAGTGTCTCCATTTGGGTGTGTAGAAATACACCTGCAGGATTAGGGTAACACCCTAACTACTGAGCTGCTGCGTGGGCTGATCTACATTAATCAACTTTTAGATACACTGTCACCTTCAACCAGCCTTCTAAAACATAACACCCATAGATGAGTAAATCTGCACCACAAAGCTCAAGATGGAGACAGAAACTCAGCAGCAAACATGCACAGTGAGACCTCACAGTGTAAAAACCAATTTTTCAAGATCCTCTCTTCTCACAAATAGCAAACAGACTTGTGTTCCCACATTCCACACACTGGTGTAGTTCCTAAGGATCAAAGGCCCTCCAAATTCTATTAATTTACTCCTGTTAATTTATGAATAGCTGCCTGACAGCACCACTCTAGGAGCCTGAGGCACTGAGCCAAATGCACAGCAATGCCCTTGTCTCTTTTTGACTAAACATGGGGATTTGGGCAGGGGGAGCAGCCTACCCAAATTTAGGCATGGCACACTGACCATGGAAGCTCTTATTAACTCCAGACCTCTCATCCAAGGGAGGAGAGTACACAGGGGATGTAAATACAAATCTGTCATCTCTACAAGAGCCACAGAACTCCCATTCATTTGCTTCCCTCCACTTTCTTGTGCAGAGACAGCAACACATGGGACCCAATCGAATGAAAAAGACAACTGCCCCTTACCCTTCCGCACAAAAGTAACAAACTGCTTTACTGTCTGATCCAAGTTAACTCCATGATACACCACAGGTCTGAAATTCCGGTGTTCAAACGAGCGAACAAGACGAACTGTGATGGTTGAGCTTTCTGCTGACATGAGAATTAATTCTGAATAACCTGGAAAACATTAGAGGGAAGAATTACTGCCTTTCTTCTGTGTACACACGCAGCTAGAAACCAAGATGCAGGTGGGCTCATGCAAAGACTAAAACATGGCAAGAAATTCAATAGCATTATGTCTTCCAGGACTTCACTTCTATTATTGCTACAGAAGCAGTAACAGGATCTCAAAACAAAGGGATTACCTCAGACATTATTGATACTGCATACCAAACAGCCCACTAATTTTAACTACAGCACCAGAATCCCTATTAAACACACAAAAATGCTATGGATAAACGAAAGTATGTTCTTTGGGTTCTAAGTGACTGAAGATTTTACCTCCGGGGTGAGTAATCTCGTGCTTTAAAAGAATGTACTAACATGAACAAAACCAAAACCTTTTTAATACACTTATGTTGCAGAGAGTATAATACCCTGAAAAATGCCTAAGCTGTTACACAATGCTCATTTTCACCTTGCTACAGAAAGTGGAAAAACCTCCCCCACACACATAGTAGTATACCAGGAGTATTATTTGCATGTGTAAGTAAGGGGTTTAATTTAATTCATAATGGTAGGTCTCCAGCATACCTCTACAGGGCTTATACTACTTTAACAGAGAGCAGAACTTACAGCACAATTACTTTATCAACCCAAGCCCCTCTTCAAACAAGCCTTCGCATTGTTCCATTGGGTTCTTTCTCTTCATAGGGAAAAAAAGCTATTTCCTGCCTCTACAATCTTCTTTATTTTTGGTGCTGGGTATTCCTCAACAACCTTGCTTTCCAGTCACACACCAACCTGCTGTGGCTGCTGCAGCAATGAGCAAAGACTGCAGTCTAAGTGCTGCAACACCAGCCAGGGGCACAGCACGACCTCTGCATCTCCTATTCCTTAGCAGCCCTTTCAGTCACCACTTCCGGTCTTGCAAAGGATTCTCTTACCTATTCATCCCTTTATGGTGAGGTTTTTTTTGTGCTTTTTTTTTTTTTTTCCTTCCTTTAAAAGAAGGGAAGATTACTTAAGTGCCCCACCACCACACAGGTATCCAGGTACCTCGCAGTCTTTGCTGTATTTGTCCTAGCTGTACCCTGGCAAAGTAAACCAGCAATATTTTCCTCAAATGCTTTCTGCAGAATGGGGACACAGACCTTCCACATCACAAGGCAACTTGCTTTTACATCCCCTTGGTTAATAAATCCCAGAGCTCTAATTCCATTTTTATTGTAAATAGGCTACGATACACATATAAAATATGCCAATCAAGAAAAGCATACTTTGCACCTGAAGATAACTAGATTTATATTAAACAGCAGCAAGGATGGATATTTTCTTGATGGCATACCAGACGGCCTTGAGATCTGGAGGGTACAGCACAGAGCAAAGAAAATGGGGCGGCATTCAATACAGTTTCTCCTCAGCAGCACGGAACACCACGGTAGGAATACAGATTTGGGAGCACAGGCAATCAAAAACCGCCATTTTT